TAAAAAAACACATTATGAAGATTTCAGTGAGATAATGAAGAGATTACAAAGCCTAATAAACAAAGAAAAATAGGAAAGAGAAGGGGAAAGAGAGAAGAGAGAAAAAGGAGAGGGGTTTAGAGGGGATTAAGGAGGGAACGAAGTATGGTGAGCAAGAGTGTCAGCATCCGAGTTGAAGCCCACGAACATGGCAAAAGGACTCCTCACGGGATCAATGTGCGTACTAGTAACTGTGACTGATAACAAGTGTATACAAGGGCATGTATATCAACGTGCATACTGGTAAGTGTATTTATAACTGTATATATAACTGATAATAAGTGTATAATGACTGCTTATACCATTCTACAATGGACCTAATTTACATATACATTTTAGCATGGAACCAACTAATTTCTTTACATTCAACAACTAAACCTTTTCATATGTTGTTTTCAATGAGGCAAATGAATGGCTCTAAAATATCTACGACCAATATCAGTTACTATAACGGACTTCAACAAAATTTCATATAAATTACAAAGACTCTCTCTCTCTCTTTCTCTCTCACTCTCTCTTGAAATCAGTTACTATGAATTTCATTCACACATGAACGATTACAACGAGGTTCAAGAAGAAAATAATGTAACCACCAATGAATGTTGGTGCACACCACCTTTTGCTGAAGTATCAGCTTCCATATTAGACTCCCTAAAACAATGAGATAACTCAAAAGAACCACTACTTAAACTGAAAAATATTTCATACAAAATGCTGCATAATCTCCAAGGTGGCTTCATTACTTCTTTTGCCCAAGCAATAACATTGCTTGAATCACCTTCAATTTTCTTTTGGCCCTCGAGGTTCTTTACTATCTTTAATCATTCCAAAAAAACTCTTGCCTTAGCTTCATTCACTGTTGTATGTTTGTATGGTCTGGAGTAGGTGAATTTGTAATTACCCATATGATCTCTAATGGTACCACCATAACCTATTGTGCCTGGGTTTCCATTCGAGCTTCCATCAAAGTTAAGTTTTAAGCAATTTTCACGAGGCATCCAAATAGTATTTTGAGTCTGTTTGTCATTATTAAGCTTAACAACTTCATATGGGTTCTAAAAAATATGAGATTTTGGGATAAACTTACAATCCTTGTTTGTTGAAAACCATTCAGCTGCTGTTGCTAAGGTGTTGGACTTCAAAACTTCAATCTCACTTTGAGTCCCTTCAAATGTTCTTCTATTTCTCTCTCTCCAAATATTCCAAATAGTGCTCACCCATAAATCTCTCCATAACACGGTGCCAATTTTCTACAAATCAAGGTTCATCCAGTGAGAGAGGATCAACTCTAGGCTTTGTAGGATCAAGATATTTAGATTCAACAACTTTCTACACCATGCTTAGAGTGAAAGGGCAATATAAAAGAATATGGTCTATATTTTCGTTATCCCTCAAACATTGATATTTATGAAACCTCTCTTATGAAGGTTGTCCACAATAGGCAGGTTGTTTTTAAGAGCTAACCACAAAAATAACTGAACCTTCAGCGGCACCTGCAAATTCCATATTCTTGCTAAATTATGATCAGTCGCTCTATGATTATCTTCATGCAGCTGTTGATAGACAGACTTAACTGAAAATTCCCCTGAAGTTGTGAGTTCCCACACTAATTGATCATCTTTATAGGGAACATAGAAAAAATTATGCAACAAATTCATAAGCAATTGGAACTCATGAAAAAAAAAAATTCGAGACCCTATTGTACCTGCAAATAATAGTCCAATAAGAGTTAGTAAAATCAGCTCCTCTGAGATCTTTCATTGAGGACAATAGAATGTTGACTTTGGAGAAAACCTCAGGGAAAAAATCTCGAAGAGCAAGGTCTCCCAGCCGCTTATCAAGCCAAAACAAGGTTTAATCTCCCTTCCAACCACTTTGCGACACTGATTAAGATATAATAATTGACACCCATCAATCTTGTCCAAATACTTGAAAAACCAACATTAGAACTTGGACTTTTAACGAGTCCAATCAATACATCTACTCCATATTTTTCCTTTAACACCTCTCCTCATAAACTATCCTGCTGATTTTGGAAGCACCACTACCACTTAATCAATGGGCTAGTGTTCATTAATTTAAGCTTTTTAACTCCTAAACCCCGATCTCTCTTGGAGGTGCATACCTTCTTTCATTTCACTAGTTTTAGTTTTTTTCTCATTCCTACATTGCCCCATAAAAGAAATCTCATATTGTTTTCCAAAGTCTTTACCGCCTGCTGTGGCATTCTGGAAATGGACGTAAAATATATGGGCAAGTTAGACAAAATAGAGTTGATAAGAGTAGATCTTCCTCCAAGCGACAATTTTTTAGACTTCCATAGATCCAATTTCTTATTAAATCTTTCAATAATAGGATTTCAAATAGATGCCAATTGGTTTCCTCCAAATAAAGGAATACCCAAATATTTGCAAGGAAACTTGCCAACCCCACATACAATAATTTATGCCAAATATGCAACTATGTTATCTGAAACTCTAATCCCAATCACATTTGTCTTTTTTAATTCACTTTGATATCTATTGCTAACACTGTAAGAACACTCACAAATTCCTTATTTCTCGTTCCTCCGGGCTACAAAAGATAATAATATCATCTGCATACTGTAAATGAGAGATTGTTAGTCTACTAACATTCAAACCATCCACAAATTCCTTAAATATTATAAATAGGAAATTGTTAGTCTACTAACATTCAAACCATCCACAAATTCTATAAATCTTGTTCCTCTCTCTCTCTCTCACATAAACACATACTATGTATGGATTTGATGCTGAAGGCTATAGCGAGGATGTCTCATATTTAATTGTTTGTAGATAAGGCAAAAGGCATTGCAAAATTTATCTACACCCACTCATTTGTCCTTAAATCTCATGGGAAGCATACAAATGGTGAGAGAGTTAGTGAAGCCGACAATAACAAGATTTGATATTAAGTTCCTAAAGTAAATCCTAAACCAAAAATATCTTCTTCGAAAATGATATAGTTACATAACAATGTGGTCTCTTACTAAGATTAGTAAATTCTCACAATAAAATATTATATTAAACTATAGATAAATGACTCTATGAGACCCTCCCACACATGACCCTAAATGATCTTTATTAAATTTTGATACAGATTTCTAAAAAAGTTATGACATGAGTGTGAGACTTGGGTAAATCGGTTTTATAGAGATTTGTATCAAAATCTAAAGGTGATCATTTGGGATCCTACTCGCATGGGTGTAAGAGGGTCTCATAGTATCATTACTCTAAACTATATCAAGGGAAAAAACATCCTACTTTGTAAACGAATATATATTACCATCAATGTCGTTTTTCTTGTGAATTGATTATGTACAACAATTGAGAGCTTCCACGTGAAGCTCAATAGTTAACGATCGCCTAGGTTTTCCAAGGGAAGAATAACTCACGGATGTTCCATTTGTATATCATATTTTTATGTACAAATCTGTTCAACTTGAAAAAAAAAGGCGTAGCAACAATGCAAAAAGGGGGTCATACATTGATAAATTTGTTCGATGAAATTCAGTGAATCAACACATTTGAAACATTGATTTCTCTATCTTGGTTTCCTCATACTGGTAAGACGCGATAAAAAGTCATTAAGTGCTAATTAGGTAAAATGATACTTTAAAACAGTGACGTGGGATGGGAGTAGCGTGTGCATACCTCAGTAAGAAAAAAATTTAAAATCTAAAAGTATGACTAGTAAAACTATTTGGAAAATTTTAATTATGATTTGAACTTAGGAAAATTTATAAAAAATGTTATTTTATTATATATTTTTTAAAAGTCTCATATATTTTATAATTTTGGGATTAACTTTGAGATATTTTATTTGGACTAAACTCAAATTTTGTATGTTCAAGCTTCTCCCCACCACACACCGGCAAAATTTAAAACATAAATAAACAAAATACACCTAATAATATTAAGGGGTATTTTGGTTATTTTAATATTTGAATATTATATAAATATTTTATTTAATATATAAATAAATTTTAGTCTATCATAGTTGAATAATATTTAAATAGTATTTAAACAAATATAACTATATATTTTTAGTTATATTAAATACTGCATGTATTTATTTAACATATTTATGAAATAAATTTTAATATACATAAATATATATTTATGAAATATAATTATACCAATAGATTAAAATTTGTTAGGGTTTAGTCGTAGAAATCTTAATATCAAGTTTTAAGAGAGATCAATTATTTCAAAATTCAAATTTGTAGAAAGAGAAATAGTGTTAAAATTTTTAGAGAGAGAAATTATATAAAAATTTAAGTTTTAGATAGAAATAGACTTAGGTGAGCTGGGTTATGTGACATGTTGGGAAGTGTGAATTAGTTCAAGTAAGAGGCTAAAAACAAGCCCCAAAAAACATGATATTGTAGTGTGCAGTTGGCACACAAACGCCTCCATAGGTGTAGAGGTACGGTGCCTTTCAAAATTTATCATGGTATATAATTTTGGTGTAAAATATTATTAGGATTATCTCAAAATCTATTTTTATATCTAATTGTAAAATTTTAAATTTTAAAAATGGTTAAAATCAAGTAAATATATAAACATATAAAAATCTAGAAAATGGATTGTGTAGATAATATATTGTAAAATATATTATTTATGAAATTTAAAATATTTTTATTTTTCATAATCATACATCTCAATGTCGAGATGATCAATCAAAGGGTTTTTCAACATTAAGACTACCTTTTCGGATGGATTTTTGAGAGACATCCGTAGTTTTATATTATAAGGTATCATCCTTATATCAATTTTTTTTTATGAAATAGTGAAAAAAAATAGAGAGACTTTCAAACTTCAAAATATTTGAGCGATAAACTAGGTAGGGAATCAAAATTTCAAAATTGTCGCATCCTTGCTCTGCCTCTTTCCAAGTGTCCTTACCGAACCCGAAAACAAGCGTAGCTTTTACCCTCGAGGCCGTTTGCATACGCAAATATTTTTCCAGTCCTACTGTTTCACACGAACCAATCCCACAAAGGAAACAGAGACTCTACATCTAGAGGAGAGAGGGAAAAAAAATCAACATTAAAAATCAAAACATTGAGATCTAACGTGAGAATAAAGGGCAAAATCTCAACTTTTTATAGAGGGATTAAAATACGATCTCCCCATGAAGGGCACAACCAGATCCCCCATTCTAGTCTCGCAGGAAACTAGACGACACGAAGGTAGATCGTGTTGAAGACCTCCCAAGACAATCCCCCTTAGGTTCGTAGATCCTTCCAAAATCATCCATCCCCTGGTCTAGTGACTAAACCCTTGAAGACCCTGTTAGAGGATGCCCTAATGTCCAAAACAAAGGATCCATGGCGTTGAGGTGACCCGCCCTAGTCCTACAGAGCAGCCGTGAGAGTCACTTTCCATTTCTATACCATTGTTTTGAAATATAATTGATTGCATCATCACCAATACAATTCAGATCAGGTTGCGGCCACCTTCGAGATTGAGTTTCTCGGCAGGATATAGAAATGTCGTCAGAGGACGAGAAGTTGCTCAAGGAGGCGAAGAAACTGCCATGGGAGGAGCGGCTGACCCACAAGAATTGGAAGGTGAGGAACGATGCCAATGTGGACCTCGCTGCTCTCTGTGACTCCATCTCCGATCCTAAGGATCCACGGCTCCGGGATTTCGGTGAGTGAAGAATCATAATCCTTCTTCTTCCATTAACTAATTCCCCATCATCACTTGCATCATAATTATCACTTGGTTTAGGGCTAAGAAGTTTTCATCTCAATGATCCCTCTGATTATCAGATCAATTTCCCACATACCCACCTATTTAACCAACGAGCAAGTGTGTTTTTCTTTGATTTTTGTCACCTGCTAACAAATGCAAGGGCTTCGTATTTTGGCAGGCCATCTTTTCAAGAAAACAGTGGCTGATTCTAATGCTCCTGTTCAAGAGAAGGCTCTGGATGCCTTGATTGCCTTTTTACGTGCCGCTGATGCTGATGCGGCAAGGTATGCGGACCAGCTCCTTCTAATATGAAGCTCCAGTCTATGTACATTCATCAGTCTCATCGAGAAATTCTATTCACATACTCTCGCGTATTAATGTTAGTCAAGCGGTCACACAATGAAAGCTTGTGAACTGGGGCATATGATTACTCTGGCTGATTTTCCTTTTCAGGTATGCAAAAGAAGTTTGTGATGCAATCGTTGCCAAGTGCCTCACGGGTCGTCCCAAAACAGTTGAGAAGGCTCAAACAGTATTTCTTCTTTGGGTGGAGCTGGAAGCTGCTGAAATTTTCTTGGTAGGCATTATTTCAATGTGATTCATACCATTATCTATGGATTATTTGTGTGCTTTTGTAATGGATTTTTGAGGTTTTCACATATTTGTAGAATGACATATGTGTCGTTGCATGTATTAAAATATTTTGTGTTACTGGTAATCACTTTTTGCTGTCGAGTTCTGTTTTGCTAACTGTGATATTGATTATTACATATTTTCATCTGCTTGAAAACTTGTTCTCTTGTATTCCATTTCTGGAAGTGGGTAGCAGTCAACCATTTTTTATGTCAAATAGAGTTGACATTTTTTGTCAAGTGCATCATTTGCAGGCCATTGGCATATGAAGTTCTGCATTTTTCCAAAAATCAGCCTCATAATAATTTCTACAACCTACCACTGTTCATGTAGTTATTGGAATCACTCCTGCCTGCCTCGAGGCAGCTCCCAAGTGGCAAGACAGACAGTTTTGGAAAACATACAATTACTTGTGTACATACTGGAATCAAGCATGGTGTTGCACAATTTCCATTTTGACATAAACTGTTTCGTGACCGTACTTAGTAGCTCATGAATCACAAGAAAAAAATATTGTGTGTAAACAATATCTCAAGCTATCCATTCACCTTAGATGCGCATAAATGGTGCTGACTCTCACCCGATAATTGTGGGAACTGAATTTTACTTGAAAATGGGAACTGATGGATTCTTCCCATTTGATTTCACTTTGCATGTAGGAGCAGTTGCATGTGAAGACCTTTATCAAATCTGATGAGAAATGAGCGATACATTGGAGCTGCAGGTGCATAGATTTGACAAACTTGTTGTCAGACAGTGGTTTGAATATGGAGTTTTGGTGCAGAGGAAGATTCCCCTCCTACATCCTTAATGGAAAATGAGGTGCAGAGAGGGAGAAGGAGAAACAAGTTGTGTGTGCAATAGATATAAAGGTGGAGGCTATGAGATGTTGAGGGAGGGAGGCAGGCCGGTCAATGTTGTTTGTTGGCCGGCAAAGATATGCTTTTAAGTCATAAGTGGGTTTCTTCCTTCAGTTAAGACAACACAAATATATTGCAAAGCTTTTTGTACAGCCATTGCTCTTTTGCTACTCACTAAAGAGAGGGGGAGGGATGGGTGGTGGGGACATAGAGAGTTTGAGTTGCGATGGAAGAGGGGGTGGGGTGGTGTAAAGTGAGAGAGGTAAATCTCCTACGTTATTTGCTAGGTGGTGAAAAGTAAACTTGGGTTCTTGAATGTGTTTGGTCATTTTTGTTAGGTATCATTTGTAAGTCAATACCATGATTAATCCTCCCATTATAGAATCAAGAATTTAATTGTATTTTACAATTGTGTGAGGGTGTACATGGGGAGTTCTCTGTTGTACGACCACTATGGTTTTATCTGGTTATGTAGGGACTATTTCACCAACCATTCTCTGAGCTTTATACCTTGAATTCCTCAACTTGTGAAATTGTTTGTAGCGGATCTTTTGCATTTTCTGGAATTACTGTGAGCACAACAGATGTCATCTCCATCTGGCTTGGGTACTGTCAGCTGACTCAGCTCTTTCTCCTACTTTGGGGTACTCAATGTGCTTCTCTCCTCTGGCTGTGTCTTCTAGGATTTTGGGATTCTCTGACTCCATGAGCCTCATATCTACTCAGGCAACTTAAAGTCACTATATACTTTATGGTTTGAGATTCTATGAAATGATCCGTATTTGTTATCCTCTGGTTCGAGAAATCAGAGGTTTTCTGTAACCACTTATTTACGCTTGGCTTCCTTAGCGCTGGTTTCTGTGGATCATGATAAGGAATATGAAATGCCAACCTAAGTTGACCTGAGACTTAAAACCTGTTTTATCATCAGTTTTTGCATCACGAGCAGGCCCTTTGAAAGAGTTACATTTACCGTTGCTCCCATTGGACATGGACTTTGTTGGAATCATGTGAACATTGACAATTATTAGCAACTCATAGGCGACTGTTCTGGTGATGTTTGTCTGCTACTCGGAGTTTTATTTTCTTCTTCTTGCTTCCAAGAAAAATTTCTTTTGTTACTTGTGCTATATCATGGTTATTGAAGGTATATATCTATGATATCTCCATTAAACATGTGTTTTATGGCTTTTTGTGGATTTTTGTTTTGCTAAATTTATGGCAAACGTTCCCATTTCAGGATGCCATGGAGAAAGCGATTAAGAATAAGGTTGCAAAGGCTGTGGTGCCGGCAATCGATGTTATGTTTCAATCTCTCAGGTTTGGAGATCATTGTCAATTTGAGAAGGCTCAGATGCTAAACATTTTGTTTACCCTGATGTTCTAATCATTCCCGCCTCATCTTTCTTCTTTTACCTGATCAACAGATCCAGTATTCAACTTTCTCTGTTATTTTGATATGCAGTGAGTTTGGCTCAAAGGTTGTCTCGCCTAAAAAGATTCTGAGAATGCTTCCTGAACTCTTTGACCACCAAGACCAAAATGTTCGGGCCTCATCGAAAGGGCTGACACTTGAACTGTGCCGCTGGATTGGGAAGGACACAGTGAAGTCAATTCTGTTTGAGAAGATGAGAGATACAATGGTGAGGATGAATTTTTTCACCTGAAAATTCCTGATTTCTCTGCATTTGAAGATGATTCTCATGCAAATATATTTTTGCACAACTTGCAGAAAAAAGAACTTGAAGCAGAGCTTGTCAATGTCTCTGGAGTCCCTAGGCCTTCTCGCAAAATCAGGTGTCTGTTTTGACTTATGTGGAAAAGAATATTTGTCTTTAAATCTTAATACACTTTTATGCTTCGTTGTATTTTATTTGCCATTCTCTTTTTTTATTTTTGGATCCATATTTTGCTTATCCTTATTGTGTAACACATGCTTGAAAACTTGGACTCAGGCTGGGACTCACAAGGGTCCCAAGCCTGAGTCAAGCAGGTTGATTTGGCTGAGTCACGCTAAGATTTGGCTGAATCATGGGTAAAAATCTCTGTAAGGGATGAAAATCATTATACTCAGGAGTTTCCCTTGATAGTTGCATGGAACTTGTTGGATGTGGAGGCGAGTGGACTTGGGTGAATCCTGAGTCGACTTGTCGAGTTTTAAACACCATCTTGCTTGTGGGTGATGGCAATACTACATTTGTGCACCATCCAAACAAAATCTTTAAATTTTAGCTGCTATGTTCCACACAAATCTCATTTTCCGTTTCTTTTTTTCTTTTTAATATCCATATAGGGAAATAACGGTACGTATGATTCCTCCAAGGGTAGTTGTTGAAAGTCCCATATCCTATTTACATCTATGTTTGTGAATAAATCTGTCAGATGCTTGCACCCCTGGGGTTACGTGCAATTTCTTAAAGATTTCCTCCAAGGGTAGTTGTTGAAAGTCCCATATCCTATTTATATCTATGTTTGTGAATAAATATGTCAGATGCTTGCACCCCTAGGGTTATGTGCAATTTCTCAAAGACCATTCCTTTTTCTTTTTTTTTCCCCATCATATGCAATTTCTTAAAGACAAAAATTGGATAATGGCTCCTCAATTTCTGCATAGGTATGGCTTTCTGATAGCTGAGTTTTTAAGCTTGCCCTTTTCTTTTTATTATATGGGACGGATGTCTGCTGGCAGATGAAGTTTGAATGGAATGGCAATTCTTGTTAAATGATGTGTAGATTCATGTTACCCTGCTTTTTTTATTAACTTGAGCTTTTCGGAGCATCACTTGAATAGGTCTGAACAAGATAAGGAGCTTGAGCAGGAAGCCATGGCTGAAGTTGCTGGCCTTGGTCCTTCAGAGGAGTCTCCAGTTGCAAGTAAGGAACAAAGTGAATGGAATGAGCATGCTTATGGTTTATTTAATTTAGTGGAGAATGTGCCTGCAACTAAGTTTAGCTTAGGCATAAATGTTAATTGAAGCATGGCTTGTGCTTGATTTTATGTCTGGAAGTCCTTTTATCATATTTCAACATTTAAGTCTTGGTTTTGATTGTTTCAGTTCCTCAAGAGATAGATGAGTACGAGCTTGTTGACCCTGTTGATATTTTGACTCCATTAGAGAAGGCAGGATTTTGGGAAGGAGTGGTTAGTTATATTATTTCTTTTGTTTTGTTTATTGTTATTCCTTGTTTTGTCTACTTGTTACCTTGAACATTATCTGTGGATCATGATAAAATATTTTTTTCAACACAGAAAGCTACAAAATGGTCGGAAAGGAGGGATGCGGTTGCAGAGCTTACAAAGCTTTCTTCAACAAAGAGAATTGCACCTGGTGATTTTTCAGAAATATGTAGGACACTTAAGAAGGTGTTTCTATCTTTCTGTCTTTGAGACTATTTATCTATGTATGCACATACGCACATATTCCTGCAGATGTTCATATACGTACATGGAATTATTTACATATGACTATCTGCAATGTTGCATTTGTAGTGTTAAACATGTTGTGAACAATAAAAAAAAGAGAAAAAGAAAAAGAAATGTTAGCCGTGTTGTTCCTACATGCATGCCTACTGCTATGTATGTCTGTGCGTGATCATACATAGTCATGCATTCGTTTTAGCTATGCTCAACATTTGTGCATGCAGGGATAATGTGTGTGCATGTGTCTGTGCTCACATTTGGTACCGAAGTACATAAAATGCATTCATTCATTTTTTTGCTCACATTTGTTGCTCTTCTATTTGTGCGTTTGTACCTACATGCATATCTTTATATGTTTGTGCATAATGTAGACTTGCAGCCACATATGTGTGCACATTTGCTTTTATCTGTTGATGTGTTCCTTTTGTTCTGTGATGAAGAATACTAAAACAGTAAAGCATGCACTTTTTTTTTGGGATCGGTGTAAGGCATGTAAATATTGCAAGGCTGAGTACAATTGTTTATGTGTTCCTTTTGTTCTGTGGTGAAGAATACTAAAACAGTAAAGCATGCACTTTTTTTTTTGGGATCGGTGTGAGACATGTAAAAATTACAAGGCTGAGTACAATTCGATGGGTGGTTAAGAGTCATAAGTAGCAGCTTTAGAACTAGTTGATGCTCTGGACTTAAGAAAAATACTGAAACCATCTGCACCCTTACAGCTTATTACAGATGTGAACATAGCAGTTGCTTCTGAAGCAATCCTGGCGATTGGGAATTTGGCACGGGGTTTAAGAAAGGATTTTTCTGGGAGCTCACGTATGCTTTTACCTATTTTACTTGTGAGTATATTTTAATGTTGTTTTCTTTTATCTATGCATTTTTGGGATAGTTTTTCGATCTGATAGACATGCTGATTGGTGTTTTCCTATGGTTGGGATAGTGATTACCTTTTTTTTATGGTAGTTCAGTGATTGGATTCGATATTGGGATTAATGTTGCTATTGTCAACACTTTACCCAATCAAAGCTCATTCCCAAATCCTGGGAAAGTGATAACTGGAATAAGTTAGTTCAGGTTTTTCAGTTATGTTGCTTAAATTTAAGCAATTTTTTTAACAAAATCTATTCTGCTGGGTTAAAGAATCAAGTTAAATTGATGCATGTATTATAAACCCAATGTTTCAAAAAGCGTTAGGCGGTCGGGGGGGTCCATGCCGCCCAGCGCTAAGGCGGGCGTCTGGAACCTGAGCGGCCTAGTAGAAATTATTATTTTTCTCTCTAAAATAGGCTCTAATGGGTTTTAAGTTTCAAATGAACCTAAAACCCCACCTTTAGTATTAAAACATGACCCAAAAATACCCTCAACGAGGGGCATTGCAGCCCCTGGGCGGGCAACCGCCTAGGCGGGTGCCCAGGGATATTCGCTTTTTTTGGGCGGCTAGGCCTGGGCAATGCGCTCAGGCCCCCAGAACCGCCTAGGCGACCGCCCAGGTGCTGGGCGATCTGCTTTTTGAAACACTGTATAAACCTTAAGTTTATTAAAATTCATATTAGAAGTTTGGAACACTTGGAACTGTGAGTTTGTGCTATTATGTGCAAGAGATTTCTTGGATTGTTACTTCATATTGTAGTTAAATGTTCTCTTATGGGATGAAAAATATGAGAGACATAATTTTTTTTCTTATTACTGGGTTTGTTGTTCTGTGCTTTCTGAGTGCTTTCTTGAAGCATCTTCTTTTGTTTTATAGCATTCATGCAATTTTGGGATGATGATTTTTTCTTTCTGTTCGTTTTATCTTTATTTTTTATGCTGTTTTTTTTCAACTTTTTGTAGGAAAAATTGAAGGAAAAGAAACCGGTAGTCATAGATGCTCTTGCTCAAACACTTCAAGCAATGCATAAAGCTGGCTGTTTGAGTCTTCTTGATGTTATTGAAGGTAACTTAGCATGGTATCTAATTATTGATATTTTAGATGGTTGAATGGGTCTCTCATGATTATTTTCATTTGATGATTTTTATAGTGCTACTTTGTTATTTTTTTTAGCACTTTGGTGTTATCATATTTGCAATTGAATCAACCCTAAACTTGAGTTTTAGTATAAAGAAATTAACATTAAATCTCCCCAAGAATGTGTAATGGTGGTCTAGACTTGGATTCCTTACAACAATGATTTTTGAGTATTGTCTATTTTTGGTAATCAGTGTTAGTCGACTTTCTTACTTTATCGGTCATGTTGTTTCTTATTTTAATTATGTTTTAATTATTGAAGTTCACTGTGTTCTCTAATTGTTTCTTGTCTATCCATTTCTTGGTCTTTTGACGCTTGTGCTGTATTTTAGGCAGAATAAAAGCAAAACCTTCTAGAATGTGAATCTCTGTGGACTTTGTTTAATGGCACTCCTACCCTCACATGAGAATGGTGTCAATATTGCCTATTAAATCATCAATATCTTGTTCAAAGCATGCTGATATGTCTTTGATTCTCTCTCTCTCCTAGTATTTTAGTTCATTTGTCACATGCATCCATTTCATGTTGTCTCCTTTATCAACTATGTTTGATGTGACCAAATGATACATAGTGTGATAGGGTCGGAATAAGCAAGATCTATAATATATGGGAATACCAATAGATACCCTGGGTTGTCTAATCAACGGGTGTTATCTTTTTCCATCAATTTTTTTTTGTGCTCCTTATGCTATAGTTATTAGAGATGGTGTATTAGCAATCCTTTATTTTGGCAACCTAATCGCTCTTCTGATTTTGGAATGGATTTTCATTATCAGTACACTGTTTCTTATACACATTTGTCTCTACTCCAGCAGCTTATGGAAAATAGTAGTTAGGATTCGTGTTTTAAAAAAAAAAAAAAGAATTGACGATCCACTCACAGGAGAACTCTTTCCTGCACCAGGTACTAATCCATTTTTAATGTCTAATTAGATCGAGTACTCTTTCGAATTAAGAACGGAAGTTCGTTGCTTTTTGTTTCCCTATAACTATTAAGAATATAATTAATTGTTAATTGGAGCCATATAGCTCTGTCCATTTCTTCACTCAATTTCTTGTTTATGAACTGTCAATTTTTCATGATTGACCATTTTTTTCCAGAAAATATTGATATATTTTTGGCGTTTCGCACAACGGAATGTGGTATAGATTGGGGGAGCATTTTTTTTCTTTCTTTTGTCCCCATTTCAGCTCCTTAGCTGCTGGTTTCTGTTGTATGGCAGATGTGAAAGCAGCAGTGAAAAATAAAGTTCCTCTTGTGCGCTCATTAACTTTGAACTGGGTAACATTTTGTATTGACACAAGTAACAAAGCAGTGGTTCTTAAGTTGCATAAGGATTATGTCCCCATTTGTATGGAGGTATGTGGACGGCACTTGTGAATTCCATCCCATCTTTCTTGGTGTGCAGCCCTGGAAAATTGCCATGGTTGTTTGATAGTTGCAGTGCTGAAGCATTTCTTTTTATGTTTTCATTTAATTCTTGCAGTGCTTAAATGATGGAACTCCAGAAGTTAGAGATGCTGCATTTGCTGCTTTAGCAGCAATAGCTAAGGTACAAGAAGTTAACGATTTTCTTTTACTTTGTACTTGACTAGTTTGCCTTTTTTGTTATGTGATACTTCATTTGATGTAGGGTAATAGATCTTAGCTACTTTGAGCTTTATGATAAAATGTGTCACCTTTCCCTCTAGATGGTTGGTATGAGACCTCTGGAGAGGTCATTGGAGAAACTGGATGAGGTGAGGAAAAAGAAGCTCTCAGAAATGATAGGGAATGTTGGAGGCAGTCAGCCTCCTAGCACAGGATCTGGTATGACTACAGCATTGAGTGTTCCTGTTCAATTGTTATTGTTTTAAGGGTGCGGTTTGTATAGAACCTAGGCTCTAAACAATCAAATTAGAGCCTACCTTAAAATAGTGTCGAGGAATGTGGTTTCAATACTGGAAATCTGTGATATCCTTAAAATATATTTTCATCTTTATTTATAAAGTTTAAAGCTTCAAAAATAGTATAGATCGACAGATCTCTGAAAACTTGAAAATCTTGAAAATTGACAATCCAAAAATGCTTTACAAAATACACTACTTCGAAAACTTGAAATCCATTTTTTTCTCATGTTCATGCATCTTGATGTTGAGATTATCAATTTGAGGATATTTGGGCATCAAAACAACCTCTTTTAATGAAATTTTTGAGGTAAGCTCTGATTTGATTGTTTAGATTTGATTGTTTAGAGCCTCGGCTCTATATAAACTTTTCCCTTGTTTTAAATATACTGATTTTCCCTTTTCCACTTCCAGCTTCAGTTTCAAGTGGGGGTGGCTTAAGTTCATCTGTTCCAGAGGTTGGTGGTTCAAATGCAATTTTTATTGCCAAAATACCGAACAACACATTTGATACGAAATGTTGTCATAGTTTGGTCTTGTCTTTCATCCTATATCTGGAGATTTATTGGCAAAATACGGAGCAACATGTTTGATAAGAAATGTTGTCATAGTTTGGTGTTGTCTTTCATCCTGTATCTGGAGATTTCTATTTCTTTTTCCTTTAGTTTCTATATTTTATCATGAATTAGTTAGGTCTTTTATTGTTTATTTTCTTCCTGCTTTTCTTCTAACATGAGGCACTTATTTTCTGTTATTTTCTGATTTATGGAAGTATCATACTTGTAAAATTGGTCACCAATTGAGCATAATGTATCTTAGACAGACGTTATGTAAGGGATTGAATTTAGGTAGCCTTGGAAAAATAACAGTAGTTGCATAAACAATAGGAAAAGAAAAAGGAGCAGAAGTATTATTGATTGGAACAAGCTAACATTTTGTTTTCTGGTGGATGATGAATAATTTTCTTGTATCACAAAAGGAATTTCTTTTTGATCAATAGAACTTTTTTGAAGTATGTGCCATTTTGTGTAGTTCTGCATCTTAATGGTGATGGAGAGATGAGATACCATGGCCTTTAAGAACTTAATTCTTTCTATTATTATTTATTATTATTATTATTATTATTATATTTTTTTACTTGTTATTCTTTCCATTGTTTATGTTAGGGCTTATTCTCCTCAAGCTTGTTTGGAAGTTATGATTCAGCTGCCTTGTCCTGCAAATGCATCGACCTTATAATGTGATTTTTGTAATTATTCCATTGGGAATGTATACTATGAGACCATTTATCTTTGTTACAAGGAGGTCACAATTGCTACTAGCCATTAGATGTCAATTTGGATGGCTTGGGGAATTTCACAAAGTTCGAGAATTTTTTTTTTTGAACTTGAGTTTAGTCAATGGCACACTCAAAACCACTGTATTTGAAATCTGATGACAAGAGATTGTGACAAGAGAGATTGTGTGTGTGTGCACGTGCGCGAGCGTGCGTGTGTGTGTTTTTTTATTTTTTGAGTAAGTCTCTTTAGTTCATAACATTGGGCAATGTCTTACTTTCATTCAAGTGAATGGGAACATTTTTTTTAACTCCCTTTAACTTGCTTCAGATAACTGATAACTTTGTGAAAAAATCGGCAGCAAGCATGTTGAGTGGAAAGAAGGTGGTTCAGGTGGTTATGCTCATTTTTTCCCATTTGGATATCTTTTTTTCTGCTCAATGGTTGATTCGTACTTTTTGCGTATTTCTATTAAGTTAAAATGTCCCTTTTTGTACTTTCAGCCCGTTACCAAAAAAGGTGTGTCAACTAAATCTGGCACTGTGAAGAAGAGTGCTCTTACTGCGCCCCAAAAGGCATCTGCATTGGTGGAAGTTGAAGATGTTGAAGTAAGCGGTACTTTGGATCACTAGATTTGTGGTTTATAATAGTCATGCGGAAGATGTCATCTGCCACTAGAATATAGAGCATCACCATTTCTGTTCATATGTTCAGCCTGCAGATATGAGTTTGGAGGAAATTGAAGGAAGATTGGGATCTATTCTACAAACAGATACAATATCACAATTAAAAAGTGGTGTCTGGAAGGACAGACTTGGAGGTTTCCTTCTATTACCTCTTCATTGCCTGACAAATATTCAATGGGTATATAGAATTATATAGAAGTATCAAAATTGTGCTGGTAATAGTTCGATGTGGATTGTTTTTGGCATTTTTTAATATAGGTGGTCCTCTGGATATCTGTTCACATAATCTTCACAGAGTATGTTGTTAAGAATTCAGAAATGGAAATGTTTGTTATGTCAGCGACATATAGCTGTTGGAGTTTTGGAAACTCTACTAGTTCTTGAGTTCTATTTGCATGGGATAATATTTATTCTACAGTTTAATTATGTGATCCCATGAAATAGTTTCTTTTTAATAAGATTATATAAAATCTTACTGGTGAAGATAGTTAGCTTGCAAGTGTTTCTTCTTGTTGGTATATCGTTATGCAAATCCAAGTTATTAGATCTGTTTCTCGTCCTTGCTACGTTTGGCTCCTGATAATTACTTTGTTAACAATTAGTCAATGTAATGTACTTTGTAAAGGACATTGAGTAAATTGTTTGTGAAAAATATTTGTCTGTTATGCATAATTTAGTTTGGTGAATTACTTTTTACTGATAAAAAAAAGATGACTTGCTTTCTCTGAACTGTATGTAATCACAAGACCACGGTTCCTGTTCTCCGGACATATAAACATCGAGTGTAGGTTGAATCTACTTCATTCTGTTTAGACCTCTGTTTAGTCATGCTCATTGACTTCAAATGTTCAATCTGATTGGTGTTTCTAGACGTAACTTTGTTTTCCCCTTTTCCCGTTCTTTCCAAAGTTGAATATATTAATACTCAATTTTTTTGCTCTGAAGTTAAACATTTAATGAGCATATTCTGGAACTAATATGCCAATATGACAATGAGATTTATGATTTTGGCAGCAATGATCTTGTTGAAACAAGAGATAGAAGGTCTTGGTAATCTTGATCAGGTTGCAGAAATCTTGATTCGTTTACTATGTCATGTTCCTGGTTGGGGTGAGAAAAACGTCCAGGTATATTGTTGACCCTTTATTGTTGCTGTAATTTTAACAGTCTTGAAATTAATACTCCTCTCAATGAGCAATGCAAACTTCTTCTCCAAATCGCTATAGGTTCAGCAGCAGCTTATTGAAGTCATAACTCTTATTGCTTCTACGGTCACCAAACTCCCGAAGCGATGCATAGTACTATGCATTTTAGGTACGAATTAGTTAATAAGGCAATTATTTGTTAAGCTTTTAGTCACAAACAATAGCTAACAATAGCTGGGCAGCTATAATGAGTAGTAGTATAGGTGGAATCCTACCCGTCAGACCTTCATCATATGGTTTAGAATGCATATCACTATATGAATTTTGATTTTTTTTTTAGATATCAGATCATAATGAAATTTTAGACATGTGTACTAAAAAATAGGGTGCACAATTAAAAAACATATAAAAAACATTTCCCAAAATATAAAATGATCGAAATACCCCTGAAAAATGATAGGGGTAATTTGGTCATTTTAAATTATTGAAAATAAATTTTTATATGGTGCGCAATAGTGTTAGGTATATACACCCAAAATCTCATCTTAATCAGATATATAGAAAAAAATTAAAATTCATATAATGATATGCATTATGAACCATATGATGAAGATTTGACGGCTGAGATTCGACCTATATTACTATTCATTATAGCTGCCCAGCTATTGGAAGGTTTACTCATATATATATATATATATAGGGAAAGTATATGATGAGACGATTTACCTTTGGTACAAAGTCATCACGCAATTAATCTTGACCATTGGATGTGAAATTGGGTGGCTGCATTTATTTCTTTGACCAAGCTCAGAAGAAATTTTTTCTAATTTTGTGACACACCTAAGCTATCAGATTTCACATAGGATGGTTGTAAGTAACTGTGACCTCCCTGTACAAAGGTAAATGGTCTTATTGTAAACAATCCTATATATATATATATATAAGTATATGATGAGACGATTCACGTTTGATACAAAGTCATCACACAATTAATTTTGACCATTGGATGTGAAATTGGGTGGCTGCATTTATTTCATTGACCAAGCTCAGAAGAAATTTTCTCTAACTTTGTGACACACCCAAGCTATCAGATTTCACATAGGATGGTTGTAAGTAACTGTGACCTCCCTGTACAAAGGTAAATGGTCTTATTGTAAACAATATTTTATATATATATAT